GAGTCAACGAGACTGTTCGGGATCACAACACGTGACATCGTGATAGTGGGGGATTGAGAGATATGAAAACGGCTCAGAGAATGTGTGGCCAGCTGACGTCGGGTGGTGAAACTGTCTGGGTTAAAACAGAATCAACGAGTCCACAGCGGTAATTTGGCTACACAGTTCCACCTACGTTCTGTCCTCAAGCTGTCTGCCCCACCTCTCGTCAGTTACATTTAGACCAAACAGGTCGTTCCGTAGGTTTGGCAAATCACTCTTATTCACTGTATGGATGCTACATTGTCGACACGAACATGAATATTGGTTTAATCGAGGATCTTGAGTTGGAAGCAGATGCTTCTTTCTCAAGAGCCGCTCCTACATATCTACTCATCTTGAATCATGCATGTGAGAATACTTCAAATCGATCTGCATCCCATTGACATAGTTTACCAGAATCAGAAAAATAGTTTCAGCGGTAGTAAAACCAGTATACACTATAAACACTAAGTTCTTAGAAGAAGCGATAAGGCTTTAAGACACTGAAGAACCAGTGAAATCGGTGTTTTCAAACCGTTGTTTCGATCGACACAGTGGAGCATATAGACAATTTAATATACACGCGTCAACGGCCTGTCTTAAAAATTACACAGATCTTCAGCATCTCGTATTTGTTAATCACTCCATACGTGCAAGCAGAAAACCGGTGGCTTTCGGTCGAAATCCAAGCATAAGTTTTATGTCCATGGACCGAACGATTTAATCCGTTTCGTTCGCATGTCGGTAAATTTTCACTTCGAGTGTGCAACGTGAGAAACCACAATGACCGACCTCAAGTGGCTGAATCGGATCATGCACCTTTGGGTATCGCAAACGAGCCGCCCACAAGCGTCAAACTACTCAACTTCCCAACCAACTAGTCAAACCAGACAGTGTAAAGCACAAATGAAGTCACTTCCTCACTACGAGGGCAATTGCAGACGCTCATAAACGATCAGACAGTAAACTTATTAATCCGTTGCCAATGACACAGAGGCAGCAGCGTTCGTAAGTTTACTACGCCTCTCTCCGGTCAAGGTCGCATGCTGAAGGGCTTAGGTAAAGTGCACTTCTGCAGCTTCTTCCAAAATTCACCGCATGAACCTGCGACAACGTACGAAATATAGGTCATAAAACATCGAGGAGAATATAGAAATTTATTCGGGAAATGAGCAAATAAGTGAACTCTACACCACTGCGTAGGTGATTATTGACCATGGCCTGTCTTTCACAGCACACTGCAATTGCGAGATACGTGTGTGGTTTAATGACAAGAGCATCTGAATTAGTTAGCCCCGCTACGCGCAACGATTGACAAAATACACGCTTCTTGTATGGCTACTGGAGACAAACTTTTAGGATAGGTGGCAAAATCAAAGCGATACTAAGGTTATTTGCTACACAAGTGCAGGCCAAACTCGTCAGGAATGATGCATGTTCAAGAAATTGCAATGCACACCGCAGCGGATAACGATGCAGAGGTGAACTTTATGTTAGGTCACAACGGGATAAAACACCTGTAGGTGGCGAGACTCATAAAAGACGCAATGACAAACTTACAGTGGAGAACACCAGCGTATAGGTATAAGCTACTGCAGGGATCCACAGGCCTCGCATTAATGCGAGGAGAATGCTTGGCAAGAAAGCCAAGTTGGACATTGATAGCCAGAGAGCCGCTTCGGAATAGCCTTGCCAAGCAATCTCGGGTACAATGAGTTCAGTTGTAGTCGACCGAAAGTGTTTTGGTGCACCGATTAGTTTGGGAAGTGTACAACCAATACCGAAACGTCCAGGTGAACAGACGCAGTTCGAGGTGTTCAGAGAATGCGCCGACAACTCTATACAAAGACCGTCGTACGGATGACCTGTTTCCTCCTCATCCATGGTATCATATTTTCCTGCTCTGGGGGCGTCATCCGATGTGCCGTTCGGGCTCAATGTGTTCCACCATGAAGGCCTCCAGCGTTTAGTTCGATATGAATTGTGAACGGTCTGGTTCAGGTAAGAAAATGCACTCGGCGGATAAGAGAATAGGATGAAAATTAATGGCAATGGTTAGGAAAAACATGAAGGGCATGCAAAGAGAAAATGCCAAATTGCACTAGGGATCCATGAGACAGAAAATAACGCAAAATCGTTACAGGGTATTATGAAAGTGCTTCGCAACGGCCCGAGTTGGGTTGAAGAACCACGACCACAACATGTGCATTTAGGTGTAAACAACTCTGTTCTTTAGCAGACACTACCCGTTTGGTATATGTTGACAGAATGCCAAACGGCACCAAATGCTGCTTGGGTTGTGTTACCGCGGATGGTGGTCACATGCAGTGTGATCACGCTGGTTAATATGCAGAACACATTTGAGTGTAATTAATGAGTAGTAGGAGGATTTATTGGGTTTTGATGAAGATTCGTCTCAGATAGACCCTAGTCAGACAGCCACTATACATCCGGGAAAACGCTGGACGGCCGTTTCGTCTTTTTGGTACTCGTCAGTAGTGCGCACCCGCCAAATACTGCCGGATTCGAACTCCCGACCTTACTCTTACTAGTCAGCGACTTTTGCCCTTTGAATGTATCCGTTTGTCCAAATGACAGGCAGTTTTGCTGTAGATTCCGCCACACTTGACCATTTAGACACGGAAATGCTTAATATCAAGGAATTACTCAGATATCCAGAAGCGCGTTTACAGCTAAACCTCACAGATGCTTAACCTGTGAGATCTGACATATGCCGGTGTATTATTCAAAGTTGATCTTACCGTGTTTGAACTGCATTAGCAAGTGTTAGTGACGGCATGGTTATTGAGTTTATATATAGAAGGAATATGCTCGTATCAATGCGGATGTAGTGGTCGGTCACTCGGGAGTCAAGTCAATCTAACTAGGCTTTATACGCACAAATGAGTGCGTTCTCAGCAATTACACTATCACTGCAAATACTTTGAATGATGGGACAAATTAAAAGATTTATAAATACACATTGGAGAAGTAAATAGACAAAGGTGTACAGATGTCACTCAAGGAGCCATCTGCGCAAAGTATTTGTGTCTTTCATAGGGTAGAAAAACGTGACAAATAAGGCAAGTGTGCGCTATGATACGATTAAGTGCGGAAAATACAACTTTAAATTTTTAGGGCGTATAAGAGCAGACAATATTTTTGGGAAATGATTAGATAGCGGATGAAAGCAGTTACTTAGGACCTTAGAAGAACTATTCATACAGGCGTCAAAATGCTTACGATTTCTAAAATTGACCAGGGAATCTTTGGCTTAGCCGCTACTTCCGTAGTATCTTTAGTCGATCGCACTCTCAAAATATGGTCCTTTTGTATTGATCCATAAAAGATTACCGGAAAACAGTGCAAGCAGGGTTATATATGTGTAGTTACAAAGCTCCAAATTAAATTTCACAACCCTGAAAACTTCTTAAGTCTAAAAACATGAAAACTACTCTTCTGGCTTTGTGTACTCGTTAAAAAGAACGCGCGTGGGCCAACGGAGGTATTGGGACAAATAGACGTCGCGATGCTTGGCAGTGTATGAAATACGCATGCTTTTGACATCCACGGTTAACAGAGGAGAGGCATATAAAATTACTCGCACAGTCAAAAAGGAATTTACTTCCGTGCAGTGAAGTATTTCTGCCTTCATACAGTGAAGGGCTGCTCATCGCAAATGCCTCAAACATATTACTTGTGACTTACGGCTCGCAGCTGGGTTATCGACGGGTCCAAAGCACCTGATGGAGGTAGACTAGCGCCCTCCCCGGAGGCTCGACAACGGTGGTTCAGACAAGGAGAGGAGCGAATGACAAACGCGACGTCCACCGTTGAAGCCGGGTGCAAACTGCACGAAATACTGCGAGTGAGAACGTAGGTGGAGAATTGTGATCAGGTTGGTCGTTTGCGAATGAAGGGATCAAATCAGTGTATGTGGTAGTAATAGCTAAGGATATCTGACAGTTAAAGAAAAACCAAGCTAGCTGACGTCCATACGTACTTCATAGTCGAATAGCATTCCGCATACAGGCTCAGATACCACTGTCCTGGAGGAGGGTATGGTAAGTAGAAGAAGCTTCGATCTATCGTCTTCCGAAACGAAGTGTCAAAACTTGGTGGGCGTTCACTTCTGTGTGGAGGTTGGCTTTGCAGCAGTTTTTCGGACACCGCGGTGGAGACAGCCTGCGCGACGGACACGAACATCCCACGATCAGTAGCCAGCCGTAACCAAGCGGGACATCTGACAGAATCTGTAAAGTCGCGAGGACTCGTAGACCGGTGGTGAGCAAAGCATGCGTGCAAAATCACTTGACGAGGTAATGACTGACAGTGAAAGGGAAGGATAAGAGGTGCGAATAAAGACCACGCGAAAACACGGTGAGAACTCAACCGACCAAATGATGTGTGGTTGTAATTGGTTATGACTTCATTATCGTTTATAATAATTTTGAGCAAATGCGAATAGTGATGCTTGAAGATGCTGTCACTTTTAGGGCTGAGTAAGTGGATGTGGTTAGAACCAGCTAGTTTTGTAGAGCTGCTGCTTTGGTAGTATTTCCACTTTTACATGGTGACTATTAGTTTGAGACACAGGATGACTGTGCATCGAGGAAGAGGATTAACGATGAGCTTATGTTGAAGTTCACTGTGTTCAACATGTATGGAAACGTTTGATAATCCTTACTGGTCGGAATAGGCATGGGGATACTAATAACACTAACTAATCGATGTGCGATAACCCTTGAGTTGCGCTTTTAATTTTGCTGTGCCGAAAATGTGATACATGAAAACAAAATCACTTGTTCATCACAGTGGAAAATATCTCCTAGTCAATGGCATTCTCCCAGTTGGCATCAAAGTAGAGTACAGTTCAAAGTCTCACGGAACATAGTTCACCCAGACGGATTAGGCGGAATCAATGGTAAGCGCACTGTTGTATCCGAATAGAAAAGACCTCCTTGCTCCGCGATAGGAATACGAACAGTTAGCGCACCAAGCATGATAAGTGCAATAAAACGGAGTATTGGCCTACAGAAAACCCGGTGCGTAAGTAGTATTCACAAGCAATATGCATGTCACATCGACTGATGTTGCGGGGTTAAGTGGTTCGCCTCCGCACAAGGATGGTGCAAACAGTTCTCATTATTTCCACGTGCGATATGTATTTGGCCCTAACGGACACACCTCTACTGCCGATAAGATCGATGTCACATTCTTTCAAGCACTTGAATTGGGTACTATAATGGCCTTTCTAATTAGATTAGAAGCATAATTAGATTTCGTCGTTACAAAACACGCGCGGCCGTTTTCTAGATTAAAATAGGGTCCGCTTGTTAATTTATCATTGTAACATAAAGTGCACCATCGGTTACGTCGAGACTCATTCTGGTTTCTTGGCTAATAAGCCCATCAAAACTGCTAAGCTTGGAATAGTCGGTTTCTATGGTATTTACACTAAATTGCTCAAAGTAAGCTACTTACAGTGTTTAATACTACACTGCGTGCAACTTCCGACACTGTAACTCCTTTTGTAACCAGTATTCACTGCTAAGAGTACGAAATGAAATGCCTGTTAACTGTATTAAATGGCAAAATGCCATAGTTCGGACGAAGAAAAAACAAGAACCAGTATCAATCCACAGGGATACTGCCACCAAAACGGGGTATGTCTCAACTAGGACGACGAAAATGACAAAACGCAGTAGCTGTCCAAGCTGACGATAGAACGGGGTTTACAACCTGAATTGAAAGTCGCATCACTACTTTTAAATAGCTTACGTCATTGAAAACGGCAGTGTTGCGCTTTGGCTCAAAGTACGAGCATGTTCTGTCTCTCTGTGAATAAGTTAGAGGCTCAAAGGGCATGAAATTAGACACAATACACACAGTTGGTTTTCTACAATCCCTAATTGCAACGGAGACAGGAACGTTTATGCAAATGACAAAGGTGATTTTGTTTACCACACTTAACAATTTGAGTATAGACAAAATTAATAATACTTTGCTCGCATCATATGATATAGGCTGTTGTAACTTATTTAGCTCACAGCCCAAAAGAAGGCAACAAGGAAATCATGACCCAACTTCCTTAAATTCCCGGATGACGTAAGGGATGAATATTTCGCACGAAGAAACATTGCAGCGCGAAATAACTTTAAGGACATTTTGATCAGGAGCGAGAAAACACTACTACAAAAGCGGTTTGAACGTACTGAGAATCATTCAGACGCTCTTATTGCTCACACTTACACCAGCTGTATTGGCAATCATGTAGACCTTGACATATCACCAACACCGCTCTTTTCTGAAGTTACTCACCAGCACCGATTTCACAAACCCACCCACAAAGTATCATTGCACGCTAATGCTGAGTCGATCTGGCCAGAAGATACTATGCACAGGCCTAAGGTAGTAGCTATCACAAAGCCCTCAGAAGTCAGAGCCATATCATGTGCCCCTAACGCAAGCAACGGGTCCGTAACTTACATGGCACGAGTTACGAATCCAAATGCATGGTATGAGACTAAGGATATTATAAATCCGAATGAACTACTTCTTACTGAATGTCACAGCAATTAACCCAGATGTAAACTACAAATGGATGACATCTCAGTGCGCCGTATTCCTGGAATATTCCGTGTCATTTTACTACAGCCGATAACACCTAACCATCCTCCATCAGGATCTGAGAAACGCTCATTAAATCAGCCGAGGTGACCTGTACGTTGTCACACTTCAGTATAAGATATTGGACCCGGTGCTGAGGTCAACAGCTACTAGCCGACCAAACAACACAAAAGTTCCTGCTCCCTACCTTTCGGACTCAGAGAAGACAGTATTCTAACTCGAATAACGAGGCATCTTATGACAGATCTGGAAGTGCGCACTGAACGTGCGACCGCATACCTACACCATCTTCCTATGGCAGCCTCAGATTTTAGCGTACACTCCACCGCCACTTTCTTCTACGGAGCAGGCTCATTTTATACCAAGCGATCCATTTTTAGGCCGATATCCACCTACGACCATACATAGCCCATTGATGAGCCTTCTGTTCAGCGTTTCCTTCACTGGAGCCAATGGACTCTAACGCACAACGGAGCCCAGTTGTTTCATCGCGGCACACCACCCACGTCGATGAAGACAGAGGATGCGATTTAATCAACTCGGTGCATCCTCTCTCATGGCTTTCTCTTAATTCCACCAGTAAAAATATTTGTTCGCTATTACCCAAACTGCACTACCTAACAACGTCCATGTTCCCTAATACTCCTCACAGTGTTTGCGTCTCGGAAACATGGTGCACATTAGCTATAGGTGAATTTCAGTTGAATGTTCCGATTTATCAATTGTTTCAGAAGCATGGTCTGTGCAGACGCGGAGATGAATGTGCAGTCTACTTACGCATGACATAATAACAATCTCAACTGACCAGTTAATCTACAATTATTTGGAAGACTCACTATGGTTGACTATTCCTGCATATTATCAATTGCTAGGCTACATTTATAAATATCCTGGATAGCACACGCAGTGAACCTTAACAATTGTTTTCTGCTATTAATTCTGATTTCAACACTCAATACAATTACGATTTCCTATGTGGAGATTTCAATCTGCCAAACATAAAGTGGATGTTGCATAGTTTTAAAACAACTGGAGCACTTGCGGAAATAATCCAATGTGTTTGTATCAACGGTTGGATTCAATACGTTAAGTAACCTACCAGGTTACATAACTTATTGATTCTAGTCTTCACTATGTGGATTAATTGAAGATCCATTAATGGAATGGGACCACAATAGAGTGCTTTGCAGTATAGATATCAGGCCATCTGAGAAGTGCACAACAATAAGCAAGCCAGGACCCCGAATAGACCTTATTGATTGCAGCACCTTTGACAGGCTGCTTAAGGGCTTGTGTTAGGACGAATTCCTGACTACAACAGAGATGGCCATAGCCGCAGACGAATTCGCGAAAAACATCATCATCATCTGAGATTCTAACACCCACACCGAAGGTAAGCACAGACATATTAGACTGCAGATACAAACACTCATCAAATTCGCTTCTGAACCAAAGAAATTAAGATAACTGCTCTGCAATACAAAGACCTTGCCAAATTATTTGAAATACAGAAAAACTTACTGAAATTTAAACAAGCAACTTAGCAGGTTAGAATCCCCGAAGAAACTCGAGCCATCAGGAATACAGAGAAAGCTTGTGCATTGATGTAGTTGCTTAGAAGAAGAATCCGAAACGACACTAGGAAATTCCAAGCCTAATTTTTAACAATGGCACCTCCACAGAATATATGGTCCAAATAGGTGTTGCAGAGAATTCCTATCTTGCTACCTCCTTTGCTAGTGCATCATCCGTATCCTCTCTGCTCCATCTAAGGAAAACGGTAATATTATCTATCATCCCTCTGAGACTAAAGGATGTACAGATGATCATGACATACAGCAAACCGACATTCTAACGTCGACTTGATTGTACTCCCTCTGCAGCAATAAGTTTATATGGCGAAAACATACCCGTCTTCATAATGCGCATTTTTACGCTATTATTAAACACTGGCTGCTTCCCGCGTCAGTGGAAAAATTACATAGTTATGCCGAAACACAAAGGCGGTCCACGGGATCGGATTTCAAACTTTCGGCCAATAAAGCCTACCTACGCCATCGCTAAGTCCTTAGAAAGGACCATCAAGAATGGGGTGACAGTTCCTGACAAAACCTACTCAACAATTCCCAGTATGTCTTCACAACAACATTTTCCTATGTCACCTGCCAAGGGCAGTTCCTAGATCATGTTACAGCAACATTTGTTGGTGGCATGATCACCATTCTCCACCCACTGGATATTGGTTTAGTGGTTTATTGCTTCATTGCGTTGTAAAGAGCAGAGGGGAAAACGCTTGTCAGCTCCGTTGATTCCTATATAATGTGGGATAGCTGCGTGTCGTGGTGTGACGACGTTTCTCGATGGCTCATCGCAGTTGCAGCGGGAGCAGCAGGATCCCAGCGTCTTCATTAACTGTTTGTCTAAAACTCTCTTGAAATGTTCCTCCGAAGGTGCGTCAACAATTTCCCTTGCTAAACGGTTCCACTCATTCACCACCCGGGTAAACAAGGTGAGGTTTGAGCGAGCTTGGGGCCTTCGTGGTTTGAACAGCTTGCATTTGTGACCTCGTGTCGAGCAGTCGGCTTTGAGGTACAAGAACTGCAGTAGCGCGTTTCCGAGTTCACCAAGAAGGATATGTCTAGTGTAGATAAGATCCCCGGGGCGACGGCGGAACTCAGTGGGAAACTGGTTCAGCTGGTGAAGTCGGAGAGGGTAAGGAAGATGGCGGAGCCCGATGGCAGCTTTCGAGGCGCACCCCTGAGCTTTCTCTATCCAAAAAGCACTCAAACTTAGAGATGGGAAAACGCTTGGCTGCCCGTCTTCTAGTATGCGACGTACGCATGCGGTGTATAGAGGTCGGAAGATCCCAGGAGTCATTCAGGAGAACGATCTTCTCAAGGCACCTAGAAGTCACTTTGCAGCTGCGACCTTCTTCAGTGTGTCCTCGGAGGTCAGAGCTCAGAGGATACGACGACCTCGAGATCCTTTACTTGGGTAGTGTACTTGAGAAGCAATCCTCCAATGTGGTATGTGCCGTATGGGTCAGTTTCATCGCTTGAGTGAACCGCACACTTATCGCGATTTGAAGATAATCGCCACTTGGTAGAGCACTCGTGCAGCCTATCTAGAAACTCTTGTAATTTATCGGCATCGTCTAGGCTACATACTGTTGACCAGAGCTTAAGACCATCAGCGTAGCTCAAACAGTCCTTTTGGAGCGCAACCGGGTCATTTATGTATCTTTTGAAAAGTTCTGGTCCAAGTACGATTCCTTTTGGAACCACACTTGTCATTGGCACAGGGGCGGATGTGTTCTGATTGACCTTTACGCGTAGGCTACGGTCTCTTAGGAAGTCGGCGATCCAGGACAGAA